AGTGAGAACATGCGGTATTCAGCTTTTTGTTTGTTTCTGTGATAGTTCATTTAGACTGATGGCCTCTAGCTGCATCCATGTTGCTGCAAAGGACATGATTTTATTCTTCTTTATGGCTGTGTAGTACTCTATCATGTATATGTGCCACATTTTCTTTATCCAGTCCACTTTTGATAGGCATCTGTGTTAGTTCCATGTTTTTTGCTATTGTGAATAGTGCTGCAATAAGCATACACATGCAGGTGTCTTTTTGGTAGAGTGATTTATATTCTTTTGGGTGTGTTCCCAGGAGTAGGATTGCTAGGTAGAAAGGTAGCTCAACTTTTATTTCTTTGAGGAATCACCACACTGTTTCCCACAAAATTTGGACTAGCTTACATGATAACCATCCTGACTGGTGTGAGGTAGTATGTAGTTTTGATTTGCATTTCTCTGATGATTAATGAAGCTGGGCATTTTTTCATATTTTTATTGGCTGCCTGAATGTCCTCCTTTGAGAAATGTCTGTTCATGTCCTTTGCTCACTTTTTATTGGGGTTATAGTTTTTCTGCTGTCAATTCATTTGAGATCATTGTAGATCCTGGATGTTGGGCCTCTGTTGGATGCATAACTTGCAAATATTTTTTCCAGTTCCATGAGTTATCTCTTTAGACTCTCGATGGTTTCTTTTGTTGTGCAAAAACTTTTTAGCTTGATAAGGTCCCACCTGTCACTTTTAGATTTTGCTGCATTTGCTTTTCAGGACTTGGTCATGAATTCATTGCCTAGGCTGACGTTCAGAAGGGTGTTCCTTAAGTTTTCTTCTAAGATTCTTATAGTTTGAGGTTTCACATTTAAGTCCTTGATACATTTTGAGTTGATTTTTGTATATGGTTATAGTTAGGGTTCCAGTTTCATTCTTCTGCATGTGCTTCCATTTTGAGTTGATTTTTGTATGGTTATAGTTAGAGATCCAGTTTAATTCTTCTGCTTGTGGTTAGCCAGTTTTCCCAGCACCATTTGCTAAATATGGTTTCCTTTCCCCGATGTTTGTTTTTGTTGGTTTTATCAAAGATGTGTTGGTTGAAGGTCTGTGGTTTTATTTCCGGATTCTCTGTCCTGTTCCATTGGTCTGTGTGTCTATTCCACCAGTACCATGCTGTAGCCTTGTAGTGAAGTCTGTAGCCTGGGAGTATAATGTCTCCAGCTTTGTTCTTTTGTGCTGAGGGTTGCTTTAGCTATCCCCGCTCTTTTTTGCTTCCATATTAACTTATGTATTGTCTTTTCTAGATCTCTGAAAAATAATGCTGGTAGTTTGATAGGAATTGCGTTGAATCTGTAGATTGCCCTGGATGGAATGGACATTTTTTTTGCTTTGTTTTTTCTTTTATTAATGATGGCCAGGAATGAACATCTTGATGATATTGATTCTTCTAATCCATGAACATGGGATATTTTTCTATTTGTTTATGTCATCTTTGATTTCTTTTCTTTTTCTTTTTTTTTCTTTGAGTCAAAGTATCATGTTGTCCAGATGAGTGCAGTGGCATGCTCATGGCCACTGCAACCTTGACCTGCTGAACTCAGCTGATCCTTCCACCTCAGCCTTCCAAGTAGCTGGAACCACAGGAGTGTGCCACCATGCCTGGATACTTTTAAAATTTATCATAGAGATGAGGTCTCGCCAAGTTGCCTAGGTTGGTCTCGAATTCTTGGGCTCAGGCAATCCTCTTGCCTCTGTCTCCCCAAGTGCTGGCTTGGTATCATCTTTGGTTTCTTTAAGCAGCATTTTGTAGTTTTCATTGTAAAGATCATTCACCTCTTTGGGTAGATGAATGCTGAGGATTTTTATTTTGTTTTTTTGTGTGGCTATTGTGAATGACTGTGTTTTTGATTTGGTTCTCATTCTGCTTGTTGTTGTTGTATAGAAATGCAACTGAAAAAAAAAATCAGAAAAAAAAAAGAAATGCAACTGATTTTTGTGCATTGAATTTGTATCCCGAGACCTTACCAAAGTTGTTTATCAGTGAGAGGTGGTTTTTGACACTCTCTAGGAACCCAGGCCTTTGAAACAATTTCAGAATAACAGCCTGTGCCCCTCATGGATACCCATCTGGTTTGAATTCAAATCTGATCTATCATCAATGGTTTTCTCCTGTTAATATCCCTCAATCAAATCTTCCACTCCATTGGCCCTCTATTTTGACCTAAAAATTGGGCCTTGTGGTAGACAGAATAATGGCCCCTCAAAGTTGTCTACATCCCAAGCCCTAGAACCAGTGAATATATGAACTTTGCAGATGTGATTAAGGGACTTTGCAGATGTGATTAAAGGTCTTGATATGGGAAGACTTTTCTGGATTATCAGATGGGCCTAATGTAATAAAGGGTCCTTGTAAGAGGGCGGGAGAAGGGTCAGAGTCAGAGAAGGAGATGTAACAATGAAAGCAGAAGGTAACAGTCAGCAATTAAAAGATGCTATACTGCTGGCTTTGAAGAGGGAGGAAGGGATCACAAGTCAAGGAATACGGGTGGTCTCTAGAAGCTGGAAAAGCAAAGAAATGGAGTCTCCCCTAGAGCCTCTGGATGGAATGCAACCCTGCTGACACCTTGAATTCAGCCTAGTGCAACCGATTTTGGACTTCTGATTGCTAGGACTGTAAGATAATACGTTTGTGTTGTTTTGAGCTAATAAGTTGTGGGAATTTGTTAGAGCAGCAATAGGAAATGAATACAGTATGGGCATTTTTGAAATATTCCACCATTGATGCCCATCTGGTTTATACTCTAAGCAGATCCTTCTTAACTCTTCCACCAACCATGTCCCTATGATCTGTCCTCCATCCCCAGCCATTGTTAGAGATTCTACCAAAATTCCATATCTGTACCCTCCGACCTGGGTTACTGTTAGCTTTTCCAACCTAAATAAGCCTCTGGTTTTACCTTGAACTTAGGCATTTGTTGTCTATTTAACCATTAATAGATCCTGATCTAGAGATAGAATCCAGGGTTTTGAGGATGAAAAATTAACAGCCGGGCTCAGTGGCTCAGCCTGTAATCCCGCGCCTTGGGAGGCTGAGGTGAGTGGATTGCCTGAGCCCACGGGTTCGAGTCCCGCCTGGGCAACTTGGTGAGACCTCATCTCTACAATAAATCAAAAAATTAGCTGGGTGTGGTAGCACGTGCCTATAGTTCCAGCTACTTGGAAGGCTGAGGCGGAAGGATCTCTGGAGCCCAGCAGGTCGAGGCTGCAGTGGCCGGGAGCAGCCAGTCTGGGCGACTGAGTGAGACTCCAACTCAAAAAAAAAAAAAAAAAAGAAAGAAAAATTAACAATCCCTTTGAGTATTAAACTTAAGGATCTGTTCACTTTTCCACTATCAGGGCAATTTATGTGTGAATCTTTTTTTCATGTCTGTTAACTCTTTCCTCACCATTGTCCCTTAGGTCTGTACATTGACTGCAAGTCTCAGTTAAACCCTCCCCATCTATGCTCCTTTGGTGTGGGCATAAAAATCAAACCTGTGCTAACTCTTTCACCATTTGTACCTTCTCCTGTGTGCATCAACCCCAGCCCTCAGCTAACTTTTCTATCATGAATACCATTTGGTTTGACCTTGAAGTCAGCTCTTGGTTAATTCTTCCACCATGATTATCCCCTTTCGTTTAGGTTGTGAATTGTGGATCTTTCTTAAATACACTACCATGAATGCTTCTCTGGTCTGCAGCTCAGATTTGGGTCTAAGTTAACATTCCGTTCAAACCCTCTCTGAAATGACTTTGGAACTGGGTCACTATTTCACCGTTAGTACTCGTCTGGCTAGACCTTCAAGTGGTTTTACATCCATACACCTTGGTAGAAATCTTGAATTCTAGGACTTTCTTGACTATTGCACCATCAGAGTTCTTGTTCTTTAGATATAGAATCCCAACCTTTGTTAACTCTGCAATTCTGTTTCAGGCTGACCTCCAATTCAGCTTTTAGTTAAGTCTTCTAAAATCAATGTCCCTCAGATTTTACCTCGAATCTCATGCTCTATTAACTCTTTTTTTTTGAGTTGGAGTCTCACTCTGTCGCCCAGGCTGGAGTGCAGTGACATGCTCACAGCCACCGCAGTCTCGACCTGCTGGGCTCCGGCGATCCTTCTGCCTCAGCTTTCCAAGTAGCTTGAACAGCAGGCGTGCGCCACCACGCCCGCCTAATTTTTTGATTTATTGTAGAGATGAGGTCTCACCAAATTGCCCAGGCTGGTCTGGAACCCGTGGGCTCAGGCAATTTTCTCACCTTGGCCTCCCAAAGTGCTGGGATTATAGGTGTGAGCCACTGCTCCCGGCCTATTAACTCTTTTTAAAAAGTATTTCTTTTTCAAAAAAAAATCAGTAGCTTTAGAGATTACAAACAGTTTTTGATTACATGGTTGTAAACATGTAACCAAATACAGTGGGGAAGAGGTCTGGGCTTTGAGTGTACCCACCACTCCCACCCGTGCACACTGAACCCGATAGGTGATTTTTCGTCCCTCCACCCCTCCCTCTCCCTTTTTGATTTGCGCTGCAAAAGGTCACATCTATCCACTTTAAGGCAAGCAGAAAGTCCAGGCTATGAGTGACAGGTGGAGGCGGGTCCTTCCTTGTTCAAAGGAGCCAATGGAAGACCGGGTGGGCAGTGATTGACGGACAGGGGCGAGCCCTGCCTCCTCGTAGGAACAATGGGAGGGCGGGAGGACGGTAGAGCCGGAGGGCGCAGATGCCGGGTCGTGGGCGGCAGGAGGTGGGTGTGTGTCTGAGCCCCCTAAGTGGATACATCCTATCAAAGGCCTCTTCCCTTTCTCCAGACGTTTTAGAAATGAGGCTTCCGCAGAGGACTGTCGCAGGCCGTGCTTCTGCCACGTGGCCTTACCACTTTCCTCGAGTTCCCACCCGCCGCGTCACCATGCCTATGCTTAGGCCATGCCTCTCCGGGTGGCCTGGAACGCCCACTCGCCCGCTCAGGACAGTCGCGGCTCCTCTGAGCTTCACATTGCTTTCGTAGGACCAATTCCAAATATCTTGCCTCAGAGATATCTCGGGGACTCCTCTGGTCCCCACACTCACACCTCTGGCTGGAATGGGAGTCTCGTGAAGCAGTGCGAGGTCCCTGCCGGCGACAGGGGTCCCGGCGCTCACGACGTGACGCCATTTTTGTTACTGGTAGAGCTCGGCTTCGTGGCTGGTTCTGAGCCTGCGAAAGAGGGGCTCCGAAGGCATCCAGACCCATCCAGGAGGCTGGAAGGGAACGGGCCTTTCGGGGGATGTTGAACGCAGTTGGGCAAGCAGGGAGCCACGCCCAGCTTGAGAAGGAGCTCTTGGGTCCTGAAAGCAGAGCCAGGGTGAGGGGCTTGGCTGACTGATGCAGGTCTGTGTGGTCAGTGATGGATGGGGACATGTGGAGGGCTTAAGGAGGGGACTGAATGACATGGAGAACAGTGACAGGGGAGTCTGTGGGACCAAGGGTGAGGAGTTTGTGGGATGAGTGATGGGGGACCTGTGCGGTGATTGATGGTGTCTGCAGGGGCTTCTATGAGGTGGATGAAGTGGGGCTGGAGTGAGTGATGGAGGATCTGTGGGGGTGAATGATGGCGGTTGTGGGGTGAGTAATGGGTGGTCTGTGGAGTGAGAGATGGTACCCCGGGATAGGAGTGAATGGGAAAGGGGATCTGGGGTGAGAGATGATGGTCCGTGGGTACAGGAATGGGAATGAGTAGGGCCAATGCTGGGATTTTGTGAGGTCCATGGTGGATGGTTCTTTGAGATCAATAATACCTCCATGAACAAACAAAAATCTCTGCCCTTATGGTGTTGAACTTCGCGACTGAGGAGTCAGACATTGTGATTTGTTTTTCTTTCATGACTAATAAGAGAAATCTTATATTTTTATATATGCATCCATCACTTGGAGATCCTCTTTTGGGAGGTGCCTGTTCAGGTCTTTTGCTCATTTCTCTGTTGGGCTCTCTGCCTTTTCCTTATTGATTTGTAGGGATTGTTTTTTATATATTCTGATACTACTCCTTTATCAGTGGTATGTATTTTGCAGATATCTTCCAGTTTTTGGCTTCTTTTTCATATTGTGGCCTTGAATATGTATATTTTAAGTTAATTTTAAACTGTAAAGCATAATATGAATCTAATGTTTTGTTATTTTTCAATTAAAAAACAGACAATGTATTTTGTAATTTAGGAGGATAATTTTTAGGGCATCCAGGAGCAGGCAGAGTTGCATCTCTGAAAATTCTGGTGCCAGAACAGCTTGGGAGGAGTTCTCTACTTTTTGTTCTTTCAACACTTCACCCTCTACATACTGGCTGTGTGTTCTTGGATTAGTCACTTTGCCTTTTTATGCCTCAATTTCCTCACTATGAAATAAAGATATTAGTAGGGCCTACCCTGGGAGGTTTGGGATGAGAATTGAGTCAATACTGATTGTTATCTATTCAGGGTAGTTTTGTAGCACTGATCTGGTATATATTTCATGGCACTTCCCTAGCTCAAGGTTACTACTGCTTGTGTGATACCCAAGAAAATCCAATGAAATAGACTAAATACTAAGGAATAAGACTTTGTCAGGTAGGATTGAGCTTTGGAGGGCCACAAACCATTGTAATATCTGAGATTATTATTATTTTTTTTTTGCCTCTAAGAACCAGTTTTTGTCCCCTTGGGGGCAATATCACCCCTGTTGAAAATGCATGATCTACATGACTGCCTGTTATTAAACAGTTGGGAGCATGTTCTTGTGATCTACCTCTTCTTCATTTTGCAGTTATATTTCCATGCCATTAGCTTTATTTCCATATTACTACTTAGTTTATTTCTATGGTAATACTTAAATAAAAACCTTTCTCTAATGGGAATTTTCAAACATCTACAAAAATAGAGGGAATTGTATAATGGACCCCCATTACGCCCATCACCCAGTCTCATTCATCATCAATTCATGGCCGATCTTGTTTCATCTTGACCAGGGGTTGGAAAACTATAGGCAGTGGACCAAATCTGACCTGCTGCTTTTTTTATACAGCTATGAGCCAAGAATAGTTTTCACATTTTTTTAATCATAGGGGAAAAAATATCAAAGGAAGAAGAATATTCGGTGACTCATAAAAATGATACGAAATTTTCAGATTTCATTGTTTGTAAATGACGCTTATTGGAACACAGCCAATGAGTATCATTAGTTTATGTATTGTCTATGGCTACTTTCCATCTGTAATGGCAGAGCTGAGTAGTTGCAACAGAGACCACGGGCCCACGAAGTCTAAGACATTTACCATATGGCCCTTTACAAAAGTTTGCCAACTCCTCATCTACACCACCTACTTCTTCCTCCTGGATTGTTTTTTTCTCTTTCTTATTGAGATAAAAGTGCACACATATTAAATGTATAACTTAATGAATTTGTATATGTAGTCTTTGTTATTTTTAAACAAATCCCAGACACATTATTTCATCCATAAATAATTATGTCAAAGATAAGGACTTAAAAGGTTAATACCATTACCCAAAGTAAAATAATTAACAATAATATCTTCAGATCATCAGTGGTTGAATTCATTAATGTCATTAAATATCTACTCAGGGCTCAAATGCTCATGATTATGTCAAATTTTTTTTTGTCTTTTCAAATTAAGGCCCAGACAAAGTCCATACTTTACATTTGGCTGCTGTGTCTCCTGAGCCTTCTTTAATCATCTAGGGTGTTACTTTTAATGATTGCCTGCCTTTCCACCCTTTGGAGGGTCCATAATTTATTTTCCCAGTCTTCAGTGCTGGGCTTTTACGTGATTTTCAGTATTATGGAGTTGAAGACAAAGCTGTGTTGAAGGTTGCTGAAGTTAAATATCTTTGCACATTCATGATTATCACCTTAGGACAAAGTTCCAGAAATAGAATTACTGGCTCAGATGAGAAACACAAGTCATCGGTGAATTAACAAGCACCATATTTTCACATCCAGCCATTGAAGAGTGGTTAACCCAGCTTGATCTCTGAAGACTCTTCTGCATCCCACCTTGCCCCCAATTGCTTTCCAAAGAGAAACCAAAAATGATCGAGTCCCAGGTAAGTTGTTTCCCACAACAAAATAAGAAAGGACAATTAGTTGAAAATAAGAATTAGAAAAATTTAGAGCATAGAAGATCAACACAGACAAAATTGCTGTGAAGATACACAGGTCACCTGGTTTTACTTCATATAAACTGAGCTAAACAGTTGGACTATAAGCTTCCCGGCAACCATAGTGAAAAGGGCAACATGATCAGTTATGTGATTTGCATTCTCCATAAAGAGAAATCAGTCCAACTCCTCAGCATGTCAAGATTTCTGGAAATTTAGTCTTAATAAATTTTATTATTGAGTTTTCCTAAAGGCCAGTAGTTTTCAGTTTGGGGTAGTATTATCAATAGTTGTTCTAAATAGATAGTTTTTCGTTAAAACTATCTCACAGAGGCTTGGAGAGTGGGAGCTGTTTTCTGATTTTCCATGGCTCCTTTGCTGTGATTTCTGAGTTTGTGTGATCATTACCCAGCTCAAGACCAGTCCCTTCTCCTCTGATCTTCCATATTTATTCTTCCTTCCCTGAAAAGGTAATCTATACATAGGACAAATAATGTAAACAATACAGCAAAGAAAAAAATACAAAGTATCTACTTTCTGTAATTGAACTTTTGCCCCTTTTCTGACATAACTAGAATTATCTAGTTTGGGGATGATCCTTCCAGACTTTTCTTTATATATAATTCCTTTTCTTTGTATATATAACCCCATCTACGTGTGTAAATGCATATACGTAAATGTGTGTAAGTGGTCTTATTATTGTCATGTGTTACTGTGATATGTTTTTATTTCTTTTCTTTTCTTTTTTTTTTTTGAGTCGAAGTCTCACTCTGTTGCCCAGGCTGGAGTGCAGTGGCATGATCACAGCTACTGCAGCCTCAACCTCTTGGGCTCAAGTAATCCTTTTGCCTAGGCCTCCTAAGTAGCTGGGACCACAGGTGTGTGCTACCACACCCAGCTAATTTTTTTATTTGTTGTAGAGACAAAGCCACTAAATAAGCCACTGATATCCAAATTTCAATGTCCATAAATAAAGTGCTACTGGATAACAGCCATAGCCATTGGCTTACATATTATCTACAGCTGCTTTCAACCTAAAACAGCAGAGCTGAGTAGTTGCAACAGAGACCATATGGCCCACAAAGTTTAAAATATTTCTTTTTTTTTGTAATACGTATTTTTTATTTTAAAATTGTGGGGTACAGTTAAGGGTTAGGTATAGAAATATGCATTGTGCAGGTACCCTTGTTGATGAGGTGTGCCCCCCCATCCCCAGACAGATATTGACTACTGTTAATCCTACCTTCCTTCCCCTCTCTTACCCCACCATAGTTTCCCACAACTGTCAATCCTTAGTACTATGATAGTTGTTCAAGGTCCACTTATGAGTGAGAACATGTGATACTCAGATCTTTGTTTCTGTGAGAGATCACTCAGTGTTATAAACTCTAATTCCATCCAGGTTGCTGCGAAATTCATGATTTTGTTCTTCTTTGTGGCTGCGTAATATTCCATTGTGTATATGTACCACATTTTTTTTAATCCAGTCCTCTTTTGATGGGCAGCATGGTTGGTTCCATGATCTTGCTATTGGGAACAATGCTGTGATAAACATACGTGTGCAGGTATCTTTTGATAGAGTAATTTGAGTTCTTCAGGATATATTCCCAGTAGGGGGATTGCGGGGTCATATGGAAGTTCGATTTTTAGAGCTTTTAGGAATCGCCACACTGATTTCCACAGAGGCTGCACTAGTTTGCACTCCCACCAACAGTGTAGAAGTGTACCCTTTTTGCCACATCCTCACCAGCATCTGTTGTTTTTTATAATTGATGATGGCCATCCTGACTGGAGTTAGGTGGTATCTCAGTATAGTTTTAATTTGCATCTCCTTGATGACTAGTGAGGCTGAACATTTTCTTATCTATCTATTGGCTGCTCATATGTCTTCTTTTGAGAACTGTTTATTCATATATTTTGTTCACTTTGTAATGGGGCTGTTTGTTTTTTCCTTTTCAGCACATTTGAATTCCTTGTAGGTCCTTGATGTTATGCTTTTGTCAGACATGGAGTTGGCAAATATTTTTTCCCAGTCTGTGGGCTGTCTCCCTGTTCTCTTGATGGTTTCTTTGGCTTTGCAGAAGCTTGTCAGTTTAATGAGGTCCCAATTGTCTATCTTATCTCTTATGGCCCGTGCATTTCAGTTTATGCTCAGGAATTGGATGCCAGTTCCAACTTCCATAAGGGTGTATCCTGCATTTTCTAAAGTTCTTATGGTTTGAGGTTTTACATTTAGGTCTGTGATCCATTTAGAGTTAACTTTTGTGTATGGGGATAGGTAGGGGTCTTGTTTGAATCTTCTGCATGTGGTCAGCCCGTTTTCCCAGCACCATTTACTGAATTGATTGTCCTCTCCCCAGTGGTGGATGGTAGAGGCTTTGTCGAAGATGAGTTGGTTGAGAAATTGAGGTTTTGCTTCTGGAATCTCATTTCTATTCCATTGGTCTATATGCCTGTTCTTGTACAAATAGCAAGCTGTTTTGATTATTGTAGCTTTATAGTAAAGTTTAAAGTCTGGTAGTGTGATACCTCCTGCATTGTTTTTTTTTGCTGAGGATTGTTCTGGCTATTCTTGGTCGTTTGTGTTTCCATATGAATTCCTGTAATGTTTTTTCTAGATCTGAGAAGAATATTGCCGGTAATTTGATGGGTATTGCATTAAATCTGTAGATTGTCTTAGGTAAGATGTACATTCACAATGTTGATTCTTCCAATCCATGAGCATGGAATATTTTCCCACTTGTTTGTATCATCTTTGATTTCTTTGAGCAGTGTTTTGTAGTTTTCATTGTAGTTTTCACGTCTCTGGTTAGGAAGATGCCAAGATATTTCATTTTTTTGTGGCTATTATGAATGAGATTGTGCTTTTTATTTGGGTTTCTGTTTGTTTATTATTGGTGTAAAGAAATGTGATTGTCTTTTGCACATTTATTTCATACCCTGAGACTTTGCCAAAGTCCTTTATCAAGGAAGCTTTTGACAGATTCTCTTGGGTTTTCAAGGTACACAATCATGTCATCTGCAAAGAGAGATAACTTGACTTCCTCTTTTTCTATTTGGATACCCCTGATCACCTTCTCTTTTCTGATTGCTCTAGCCAGGACTTCCAATACTATATTGAACAGAAGGGATGAGAGTGGGCATCCTTGTCTTGTTCCAATTTTCAGGGGAAATGGTTCCGATTTTTGTCTGTTTAGGAGTATGCTGGCAGTGGGTTTCTCATAGATGGCGTTTACTATTTTGAGGTATGTTCCATGTATGCCTAGATGTTCGAGGGTTTTTATCAAGAAGGGGTGCTATATTTTATCAAAAACTTTTTCTGTATCTAATGATATAATCATGTGGTTTTTGTTTTGACATCTATTGATGTATTTAATTACATTTATGGTTTTACGAATGTTGAACCAATCTTGCATCACAGGGATGAAGCCTACTTAGTCATGATGGATGATTTTTGAGATGTGTTGTTGAATCTGGTTTGCTAGGATCTTGTTGAGAATTGTAGCATCTATGTTCATCCAAGATATTGGCCTGTAGTTCTCTTTCTTTGTCAGGTCTTTACCTGGCTTGGGTACCAATGTGATGTTAGTTTCATAAAATGATTTGGGGAGAGTTCCATCTTTCTCAATTGCCTGGAATACTTTCAGTAGGATTGGTATCAGCTCCTCCTTAAATGTCTTAAAGAATTCTGCTGGAAAGCCATCTCGTTTAGGGCTTTTTTTTGGTAGGTATTTTTCTTATTACATAGTCAATTTCCTTGATTGTTATTGGTTTATTTAGGGTCTCTATTTCTTCTTGTTTCAACCTAGGCATGTTGTGTGATGTCAGAAAGTCCTCCATTTCCTTGAGGTTTTCAAGTTTGTTTCCATACAAATGTGCATAGTAGTCTCTAACGATCTTTTGTATTTCTTCAGGGTCAGATGTGACTTCATCTTTTGTGTTTCTGATTGTGTTTATTTGAACTTTTTCTTTCTTTTTCTTGGTCAGTCTAGCTAGGGGACCATCGATCTTATTTATCCTTTCAAAGAGCCAGCTTTTTGTTTATTGATTTTTTGTATTATCTTTTTGTCTTCTGTGTCCTGGATTTGGGCTTTTATTTTGGTGATCTGGATTCTTCTGCTGAAGTTAGGGTTTTGGTGGTCTTGCTTTTCCAGCTTCCTTACGTGACTTGTTAGGCTGTTAATTTGTGATCCTTCCATTTTCTTCATGTGCGTTTGTAGAGATATGAATTCCCCTTTTACTATAGCTTTCATGGCATCCCAGAGATTTTGGTATGATATTTCTTCATTTTCATTTGTTTCCAGGTATCTTTTAATCTCTGTTTTGATTTCATCATTAACCCAGGAGTTGTTAGCATCATGCTGTTTAGTATCCATGTCTTTGTGGGTTTTGGGGGAACCTTGTTGGTGTTGATGTTTATTTTTATTCCACTGTGGTTCGAGAAGGTGCATGGCAAAATTTCAATCTTTTGAAATTTGTTTATGCTTGATTTATGGCCAAGTATGTGTTCAATTTAGAGTACGTTTCATGTGGTGATGAGTAGAATGTATATTCTGTGGTTGTTGGGTGGAGTGTTCTGTAGGTATCTATTAAGTCCATTTGTTCAAGAGTCGCATTGAGGTTCTGGATCTCGTTGCTGATTTTTTGTCCTGATGATCTGTCTAGAGTTGTGAGTGGGGTGTTAAAGTCCCTAGCTATGATTGTGTTAGAGTCAATATCTTTTTTGAGTTTACCCAGAAGCTGTTTTATGAAAGTTTGTGCTCCTATGTTGGGTGCATATATGTTTAGGATGGATATTTCTTTTTGATGGATTGAACCTTTTCTCATTATGTAGTGGCCTTATGTATGTTTTTAAATTTTTGATAGTTTAAAGGGTATTTTGTCTGAGATTAAGATCATGACTCCTCCTTTCTTTTGTGTTCCGTTTGCTCAAAAATTTGTTTCCCATCTTCTTACTTTGAGTCTGTGAGTGTCCTTTCTAGTGAGGTGTGTCTATTGTTGCCTGGTGATATTTTATCCATTTTGCCATTCTATGTCTTTTCAGTGGTCCATTTAGTTCATTCACATTCAAGCTTAAAATATTTCTATCTGGCCCTCTACAAAAAAAGTTTTCTGACCTCTGACTTGGATGAGCTGGACAAATTACTTGAAAGTCACAATTTACCATACCTGACATAAAAAGAAATAGAAAATCTGAATAGTACTATATTTTAAATACATTGAAAATATAATTTAAAATCACCCCACAGAGAAAACTCCACACCCTGATGGCTTCATCGGAGAATTCTTCCAAATATTTAGAAGTAAATACTATCAGTTGTACCCAGACTCTCTTAGAGAATACAAAGAGATATTTCTCAACTTGTCATATGAGGCCAATATAACATGATGCAAAAACACAGCAAGAATAAGATAAGAAAGTAAAATTACAGGCCAATATGTCTCATGGACAAAGTGGTATAAATCCTAAACAGAATATCAACAAGGGACTGGCTAGATGATGATGATTATGTTGATAGAAGTGGCCTCCCAAAGTTCTGGACTTACTGGCATGAACCACTGGTGCTTGTTTTATCCCCACCCACTCCTATCATCATCATCATCATCACTATCACCATCTGGCCAGTCCCTTGTTAATATTTTGTTTAGGATTTATACTAATATGTTCATAATTAAAAATTAAAAAAAGAAAGTTGGATTTCAGATAATTTTAATGTGTCATAAAATACTATTCTCCTTTTTTCCAACCGTCAAAAGTGTAAAAATCATTTTTAGCTTGTTAGCCATTGAAAAACACACTGGTGAGCCGGGCTCAGTGGCTCAACCTGTAATCCCACGCCTTTGGGAGGCTGAGGTGAGTGGATTGCCTGAGCCCGCGGGTTCGAGACCCGCCTGGGCAGCGAGACCTCATCTCTACAATAAATAAAAAAATCAGCCGGGCATGGTAGTGCGCACCTGTAATTGTGGCTACTCGGAAGGCTGAGGCAGAAGGATCGCTGGAGCCCAGCAGGTGGAGGCTACGGTGGCCGGGAGCAGCCACTGCACTCCAGAATGGGTGACAGAGTGAGACTCCAACTCAAAAAAAAAAAAAAAAAAGAAAGAAAAACACATGGTGGACTAAATGTGGTCTGCAGGCAACAGTGTGCTGTCCCCTGATCTATATTGTCAAATTTCTTGGCACAAAATTGTTCATAGTATCCTCTTATTATCTATTTAATGGCTACAGGATACCAACAACTTTTTGTTGGCTTTTAAAAATTTTTTCTCGTTTTTTCTTTTATATATCATAGTAATAATAATAATAAGACTCACAGCTACCATTTACTGAGTGCTTACTGTGTACCAGACACTGCTATAATAAGTTATAATGGAATTAAAATTAACTCATTTATTTACCCAGGAACACTTTGTGCTAGATACCGTTGTTATCACCATTTTTCAGAGGCAGAGACTGAGGCTCAGAGTTCACACAGCTAGTATGTGGTCTAGCCAGGACTCAAGCAGTGAAGTCACAAATAAACAAACAACCTTATAAGGGCATCTTTTATATTTGTCGATTATTTGTGTACACCAAATTCTTAGATATGAGTGTGCTAGGTCAAAGGCATACATGTTTATAAATGCAAAGGGTATTTTCCGAATTGTATTTTGATAATCAGCTTACATGTGGCCACTGATTCTTTTACAAGAAGGTCTATTTCCCATTATCAGCTCCCCACTAGACATCATCAGTGTATTTAATTCTGCTGTTTTTTATTTTTGAATTGGAGTCTCACTCTGTTGCCCAAGCTGGAGGGCAGTAGAATGCTCACAACCACCCCAGGCCCAGCGTTGACCTGCTGGGCTCCAGCATTCCTTCTGCCTCAGCCTTTCGAGTAGGTAGAACTACAGGCACACGCTACCACATCCAGCTAATTAAAAAAAAAATTTATAGTAGAGACAAGATCTCACCAAGTTGCTCGGGCTGGTCTCGAAATTGCTGGCTCAGGCAATTCACTGACCTTGGCCTCCCAAAGTGCTGGGATTACAGGCTGAGTCACTGAGCCTGGCCTCTCTTGCTCTTTTTATGATTGAGCATTATATTTTATTTTCACTTGCTTTTCTTTAGGGATTAAATTAGCTTCAGCATCTTTTCACAAATTTACTTTCCATTTTGCATTTCTCATAAATCCTTCTTTCCTTCTTTATCTCTTCCTTATTGCTTTCTAGAGGCTTTTTGTATATAATGATATGAATTTTGAAATGCACTTGCAAACCTTTTCTTTAGTCAAATGGTGATTTATTTCTCAATCTTGTTCCTGCTATATTCTTAGTTCCAAGAACAGTGCCTGGTATTCAGTAAGTGCTCAATAACTGCTTGCTGAGTGAATAAATGCTTTTTCACTTAATAGTTTATCATAGAGAGTGTTGCTTATAGGTCCATGTTGTTTCCTTGTTGCTTTTTGCAATTGCATATGGTATTCCCTTATGGGAGAGCATAATTTATTCATCCAATCCCCCGTGAGGTTGTCTCCATTTTTTTGCTAGTATAAACAGGACTGGAGAGCACTACTGTTGAATATGTGAGTATTTATGTAGAATAATTTGTTTTAGCTGGGCTGGTGGCTCAGCCTGTAATCCCGTGCCTTTGGGAGATTGAGGTGAGTGGATTGCCTGAGCCCGTGGGTTCGAGACCCGCCTGGGCAGCGAGACCTCATCTTTACAATAAATCAAAAAATCAGCCGAGCGTGGTAGCGCACGCCTGTAGTTCCAGCTACTTGGAAAGCTGAGGTGGAAGGATCGCCGGAGCCCAGCAGGTCAAGGCTGCGGTGGCCGGGAGTGGCCACTGTACTCCAGTCTGGGTGACAGAGTGAGACTCCAATTGAAAAAAAAAAAAGAATAATTTGTTTTTCTTTTCTATGTAGAATAATTTCTAGAAACAGAATTGCTAGTCAGAGAATTGTATATATTTTAAATTTTTGTAGAAGATGCTCAATTAATTTCCCTCAAAAATATTGTACCAGTGTACCCCCAGACAATTTGAGTTGCTGTTTGTTGACATCTTCACCAACTCACAGTGACTTATCAAACACTGATATCTGCTGGGGAAAAATGGTGTCTTGTTTTAGCTTGCATCTATCTTCATGTGAGTAAAGTTGAGCATATTTTTTTTTTTTTGAGTTGGAGTCTCACTCTGTTGCCCAGACTGGAGTGCAGTGGCCGGGCCTCGACCTGCTGGACTCCGGCGATCCTTCCGCCTCAGTCTTCCAAGTAGCCGGAATTACAGGCATGCGCTACCACGCCTGGCTGATTTTTTTATTTATTGTAGAGATAGGTCTCGCTGCCCAGGTGGGTCTCGAACCTGCGGGCTCAGGCAATCCACTCACCTCAGTCTCCCAAAGGCACGGGATTATAGGCTGAGTCACCGAGCCCGGCTGAGTTGAGCATATTTTTACATATTTAAAATCCATTTGCATTTTCTTTTCTGTGAATTGACGGTCATGTCCTTTGACCATTTTGTTAAAAGTTAAGTGCTTGCTGGTCATTTTCTTCTCACTTTGTGGGAACTCTGTCTATCTGCTGGGGGAAATTAGCTTTGTCGGTTATATATGTTGTGCATATATCTTTTCCCCAGTTAGTTATGTCTTTTGAGTTTATGATATAGTTTGCCATGCAATATATAAAGTAGTTAAATTTATCACTGATAAATATAAACAACCCTTGAAATGCTCAATAGGTGCACAGACCTTGATCCTTCAAGTAAAAAACAAGTTGGATTCATTTGAAAATAGCTTGAAATCTAATTTAGAGTCACTAAATTATAATAGAAGCTATACAAGAAGGAACCCTATTCTGGCACCTAAGTTTTGTAGCATGCTTAGAATAGTCTTCTCCACTCTAAAATTATTTTTAAAACTCTAACCTGTCTTTATTTTATGGTTTATCTTTTTCTTTGTTTAAATTTTTGTTATATCTCAAGTTTATTTTTGTGTATAGTATAAGGTAGGGAATCCAAGGTTACGTTTTTTTTTCTGATAGCTCTGTAGTTTTGAATAATGTTGTTCCACACTTATTTAAAATGCTACCTTTATTATACATTAAATTTTCCATAAAAATGAGATTATTGAGAGGACATAAAAGCTCCTGACATAAAAGCTCCCACAGTGAGAGGGGACCTGAGGGGGTTGCCCAAATTTCCCATTTTTATTTACATCTGTTTCTAGACTCTCTGTTGTGTTTCACTAACTAGACTTGCTAATAGCAGGATTTTACATTGTTTCTCTCATAAAGTATGCCACACAAAGTGCAAAATAGGTACCCCACATGTATTGCTATGGCCAAAATGATCAGAATGAGCCAAGTGTAGAGAAATGTGCTGTTTTAGGACCCAGTGACATTTGAGGATGTGGCTGTGGACTTTACCCAAGAAGAATGGCAGCAGCTGGACCCTGCTCAGAAGACCCTGCACAGGGATGTAATGCTGGAGACCTATAGTCACCTGGTGTCTGTGGGTAAGGGCAGATTCCGTGTGTACCAATGAATCGAATCATCCTCATCCTTCCTTCAGAGCTGTCAAGACCATGACCTTTACAATTTCCCCCTTAACAGAGGGCTTCCTTTTATAATTTTACTTTTCTTTTAAAATATCTAGTGTGTGTGTGTGTGTGTGTGTGTGTGTGTGTGTATATATTTTTTTTGATTTGGAGTCTCACCCTGTTGCCCAGGCTAGAGTGCAGTGGCATACTCATGGCCACCGCAACCTCAATCTGCTGGGCTCAGGTGATCCTTCCCCCTCAGCCTTTCAAGTAGCTGGAACTACAGGCATACACTGTCACAGCTCCTGCAGCTTCAACCTGCTGGACTCAGGCAATCATTCTGCCTCAGTCTTCCAAGTGGTTGGAACCACAGGTGTGCGCCACCACACCAGGCTAATTTTTTTTTGAGTTGGAATCTCAGGCTGGAGTGCAGTGGCACGCTCACAGCCACTGTAACCTTGACCTGCTAGGCTCAGGCAATCCTTCTGCCTCAGCCTTCCAAGTAGCTGAAACTACAGGGATGCACCACCATGCCCGGCTAATTTTTTGATTTATTGTAGAGATGAGGTCTCGCCTTTTGTCCAGGCTGGTCTCAAGCCCATGGGCTCAGGCAATCCTCTCATCTTGGCCTTCCAAAGTGCTGGGATTATAGACGTGAGCCACCGTACCTGGCCTAATTTAAAAAAAAAATTTATTGTAGAGACAAGGTCTCGCCAAGTTGCCCAGGCTGGTTTTGAACCCCTGAGCTCAAGCAATCCTCTTGCCTCTGCCTCCCAAAGTGCTGGGATTATAGGCATGAGCCACTGGTGGCTCCTGGCCCTGAAAGATATTTTTATGTATTATGTGAGTTAAGAATCCAGCTTTGCTGGGAGGCCCCTGAAATTGTTGCTTCTCCTCATGAATTTCTGAGTTGCCAAGGCCAAAGGCATTATAATTTTCTCTTAACAGGGTGTTCAGGTATAAAACCGGATGTAATCTTTAAGTGGGAACATGGAGAGGACCTGCGGATCACAGAGAGTGAGTTGTCAAGGTGGATCTACCCAGGTAAGTGAGAATTGGGGAGATGGCCAAGGGGGTGTCTTCTTCCTCCCTGACATCCCTGACACCAATGACCTCCTTTCCTCCATAAAATTCATCAGGCCTCTTTTATAACATTCATCCTATAACAACTGCTTTCCTAACACCTGTGTCTATTGACAACTCTGTGTGTGTGTGTGTGTGTGTGTGTGTGTGTGTGTGTGTGTGTGATGTCTATTTGATTTTACGACTTTCTTCTTTCAGTCAGGGAGAAAGGCCTTGAATCTTCCCAGAAGATCATTTCTGGAGAACTTTCATTTCAAAGAGAGATACTAGAAAGATCCTCAATGGACAATTCATTATACTCCATTTTAAAAGTCTGGCATATTGATGATCAGATAGATAGATATCAAAGAAACCAAGACAGAGTTTTGAGGAAGATCACGGTCATCAGCCATGAAACACTGACTGAGGAGACAGGCTCCAAGTACAGTGCATTTGGAAAAATGCTCAATGAGTGCACAGACCCTGACCCTTCATGCAAAAGACTTCATAATTTTGATTCGTGTGAAAAGAGCTTGAAATCTAATTTAGACTCACTAAATTATAGTAGGAGCTATACAAGAAGGAGCCCTATTGAGAGATTTGGATGTGGGAGACCACCTAGCTATAGTGCTTTCTATTATTTGCCTGAGAATGAAGGGTTAATTCATACTGGAATGAAACACTATGGAGACAGTCAATATGAAAAAGTTCTTCATAATAAGCGAGCCCATATTCAGTATAAGAAGTTTCAAGCTGGAGAGAAGCCCAATGTTTGTAGTGTGTGTGGGAAGGACTTTATCAAGAAGTCACAGCTCATTATACATCAAAGAATTCATACTGGAGAGAAACCGTATGTCTGTGGAGATTGTGGGAAAGCCTTCAGTGAAAAATCACACCTTATTGTGCATCAAAGGATTCATACTGGGGAGAAACCCTATGAATGTACTGAGTGTGGAAGGGCCTTCTCCCAGAAGTCACCCTTCATTGTTCATCAGAGAGTCCATACTGGAGAGAAACCCTATGAATGTTTTGAATGTCCAAAGGCTTTCTCCCAGAAGTCACACCTTCTTATACATCAGCGAGTTCATACCAGAGAAAAGCCCTTTGAATGCAGTGAACGTGGGAAAGCCTTCTGTGAGAAGTCTCACCTTTTTATACACCAAATAGCTCATACTAGGGAGAAACCCTATGAATGTACTGAATGTGGGAAGACCTTCCTTCGGAAAACACAGCTCATCATACATCAGAGAACACATACTGGAGAGAGGCCTTATAAATGTAGTGAATGTGGGAAAACCTTTTGCCAGCAGTCCCACCTCATAGGACACCAAAGAATTCATACAGGAGAGAAACCTTATGTATGTAGCGACTGTGGGAAGGCTTTTTCCCAGAAATCACATCTCACTGGCCATCAAAGACTTCATACTGGAGAGAAACCTTATGTGTGTACTGAATGTGGAAAATCTTTCTCTCAGAAATCACCTCTTATCATACATCAGAGAATTCATACAGGGGAGAAACCCTATGTGTGTAGCGAATGTGGCAAAACCTTCTCCCAGAAATCACCCCTTATTATTCATCAGAGAATTCACACAGGGGAGAAACCTTATCAGTGTACTGAGTGTGGGAAGGCCTTTTCCCTGAAGTCACATCTTGTTATACATCAGAGAGCTCATACTAGAGAGAAACCATATGAAAGTAGTGAATGTGGAAAGGCCTTCTGTGAGAAGTCTCCATTCATTATACATCAGAGAACACATACTAAGGAGAAACCCTCTGAATGTGCTGAGTATGGAATGACTTTTTCCCGGAAATCACAGATGATCACGTATCAGAGAACACAAACTGGGGAGAAACTCTTCAAATGTAGTGACTGTGGGATGACCTTCTGCCAGCATGTACACCTCACTGGACATCAGAATCCATATAGGAGAGAAACCTTATATATGTACTGATTGTGGGAAGACCTTTTTCCAGAAGCTAGACCTCATCATACATGGGAAAACTCATATTGAGCAACAATCCTAAGAATATGTTGAATGTGAAAAGATGTGGCAACTTGTCAACTGTAGAATAGACTTATGTATTCCTCAGCATGCCTGATTACCCTTCCACAGAATGATCTGGTTAGGCCCTCAGAATGTTCTCAGTATGATAAATGTGGGATTGATTTGTTCACCCTCAAATTCTTTCAGTCCCCTTCACAGTATAAATGCAGCTGAAGCAATTAGCATTGCTTTGGTGTTATCTGGTCCTTAAGAGCTTTATAGAATCCTCTTGTGAATTTATTTAGGCATGGTACATTATCTGAAGGGGATCTCTTTGTCATTTTTATTTCTTCCATCTTATTTTTTTCTGTTTGGATTTATAAATATATAGATTATATATAGAGAGAAAAATATATGGACTCTGTAATTTTAAAAATTAATTTATTCCCTCAAGGTTCTTAATACATTTGCATAATTTTGAGCAAACTAGTTTCATGGTTAATTCCCTTTATAGCTGTGGTTATTTCTCCAGTATAATTTCTCATAGAGTGTATTTGTGATTTTTTCCCCTCAATTAGGTTAACTGATGCTAATGTTTTATTTTTTATTTTTTTTATTTTTTGAGTTGGAGTCTCACTCTGTCGCCCAGACTGGAGTGCAGTGGCTGCTCCTGGCCACCGCAGCCTTGACCTACTGGGCTCCGGCGATCCTTCCGCCTCAGCCTTCTGAGTAGCCGGAACTACAGGCGCGCGCTACCACGCCCGGCTAATTTTTTGATTTTATTGTAGAGATGAGGTCTCGCTGCCCAGGTGGGTCTTGAACCTGCAGGCTCAGGCAATCCACTCACCTCAGCCTCCCAAAGACGCAGGATTATAAGCTGAGCCACCGAGCCTGGCGCTAATGTCTTATTTATTTTACTCCTTGACACCTGCAAAGCAGTTCTTGCATTTATACCATTTTCTACTCTTTAATTCATTCATTTGTACTTTTATTTCATTAAAATTCTTCCATCTTCTTTTTAATTTTTTTCTTTTTCTCACTTTTTTTTGAGTTGGAGTTTCACTCTATCACCCAGGCTAGAGTGCAGTGGCATGCTCACGGCTACTGCAGCCTCAACCTGCTGGGCTTAAGTGATCTTTCCACATAGCTGGGACTACAGGCACATGCCACCATGTCCAGCTAATTTTTTGAGTTATTGTCGAGGTGAAGTCTTGTCAAGTTGCCCAGGTTGGTCTCAAATTTCTAGGCTCAGTCAATCCTCTCACCTCAGTCTCCCAAAGTTCTGGGATTACAGGCATGAACCACCATGTCTAACTCTTTTTCTAACTTCTTCAGTTGAATGTGTGATTCAGTTTTTGGCTTATTGTAGGTGTATTTGGGGCTACATATTTTAATCTGAGAACTACTTTAGCCATTTGTGGTTCCTTGGTTTGTAGGTATGACAGGACTATCTGGTCTTATGTCTCCCAGCATATTTCCTGTTGTTCAGTCTGTTTTTATTGCTTTTATGTCTTTCATCATGTGCTCCTGATTTACTTTGCACTGTTTTGAATGTGTTACTTCTGTACCAGGACATGGCAAATGAAGGGAGTCTTCTAAAGGGTTTTCAGGAAGCTAAACATAATCCCGATATCTATAATCTTGAAAATCCATAGGATTATCAATCTATATCTATAGGACATGGGATTTTGGGTTGCAAAGACACACGATGGCAGGTTTGTGGCTATGTTCAGAGGACTTTTAAAAAAATCTTTCCATTCAAAGCCAAGATTTTAGATAGACAATTTATTTTAAAGTTTTCTTAGTCCATTTTATGCCTACCTCTATAACAGAATACTTGACACTGAGTAATTTATGAAGAATAGAAATTTATTTCTTACAGTTCTGGAGGCTGGGAAGCCCAAGATCAAGGCACTGGTGTTTGGTCTCATGAGGGCCTTCCTGGTAGAAAGCAGAAGTGGAAACTATCAAGCTAGTAAGTTAACTGAATGCTTCAGGAAGCCTCTTTTAAAAGAGCCTTAATTCATTAATGAGGGAGCATGCCTCATGTCCTAATCCCCTCTTAAAGTCCCTACCTGTTATTACCATCACATTGGGAACAACTGAATTTTGGAGGGGACACATTCAAACCATAGCACAGTCTCTTGGGAAAAGGTGGTTTTATTTCTAGCTTATTCTTTCACTGAAAGTGAAACCTTTTTCATTCCCAGATTTATGGCAGCAGTCTTTACCACTTGAGCAATCATATTCTTGAAAACTGTAGCTTGAGTACCCTTGGTCTGGCAGATTCTCTCAAAGTGGAGGGGAGGCAATAGTAGATGCTATGGTCTGAATGTTTGTGTCCTCCCACAATTAATATATTGAAACTTAATCACCAAGGTGATGATATTAGAAGGTGGGCTTTGGGAGGTGATTAGAGCAGGAGGGCTTTGCCCTCATGAATGGGATTAGTGTCCTTATAAAAGAGTCCCAAGGGAGTTTGTTTGCCATTTCCACCCTGCGAGTATACATCAAGATGATGCCATTAATGATAGAGATGGGTCATCACTAGACACCACATGTGTTAGCACCTTGATCTTGGATTTTTCAGACTCTAGAACTGCGAGAAATAGATTTCTCTTGTTTATAAGTTAACCAGCTTATGGTATTTTTGTTACAGCAGCCTGAGTGGATTAAGACAGTGGAGTATCTGTTTTTGTTGAGGCTGCTGTGGCCAAGTACCACAGATTGGGTGGTTTAAACAACAGAAGTGTATTGTCTAACAGTTCTGGGGGCCAAAAGTCCAAAATCAAGGTGTTGCCAGGGTTGCTTCTTTCTGAGAGCTATTAGAGAAAAATCGGTTCTAGGTTTTTCTGTTTGGCTTACAGATGACTTTCTCCCTATGTCTCTTCACATTGTCTTCTCTCTGTGCATGTCTCTGTGTCCAAATTTCCCCTTTTAATGAGGGTATCAGTCATACTGGATTCTGAGTTCAGGTCTCCTGTGAAGTAATTGCCTTGCAGCAAGCCACAGCAACAGTGGGAATTTTCCTAAAAATGTTCCAGAGTGTGGATGGATGTTGTTTCTTCATATTCACCAAACCTTTTGTTGCTGAATATCTCCTCTACTTAAGTGGTATGGATGAAAGTAAAGCAAGATAGTGAAACAAGGAGTCACCTGAAGATGTGAGGTGGGCAGAGAAAGCTTCAATGATAGGGTACCATTTGAACAGAGATCTGAAGAAAGAGAGGGTGTGTTTGAAGTAGGGCATGCCAGCAGAGGGGAAAGCAAGTACAATGGCCCTGAGGCAGAGGGATACCTGCCATTGTGCTTCTTTGAAGCCTCAAATCACATCTCCAGTGTATCCCAGAAACACCTCAAGGATTTACCTTAAGTGGTCTCAGGTTGTAGTGACCTCTGGTGTCTGAGAGAAGTAAACATAAATCCACTCCTGTAAACCACCTTTGAACCCACAGATAAAATTCCAAGATACAGAAATCGACAGTAAAAAGCAATAAAAAACACAAAAAAGATACAAAACACTTATTAGCAAGATTCATAAGAAACAGCAAACCAACAGAGTCAAGCTTTTAAAACTTCAGTTATTGAAATTATCAGACATAGACTATAAAATGAGTATATATTTAAAGCAACAAAAGAAGGTATGTTCATTTGCTAGGGCTTCCATAATAAAGTGCCACAAAATGGGTGTTTTAAATAATAGAAATGTATTGTCTCACAGTTCTGGAGGCTAGATATCCAAAATCAAGGTGTTGGCAGTGTTAGTTCTTTCTGCGGGCTATCAGGGAAGGATCAGTTCTAGGCCTTTCTCCTTGGCTTACAGATGGCTTTCTCCCCATGTCTCTAAACATTGTCTTCTCTCTATGCATGTCTCTGTGTCCAAATTTCCCTCTTTAATAAGGACATCAGTCACATTGGATTTTAACTTGATTACCTCTGTAAAGACCCTACCTCCAAATAACACCACATTTTGAGGCACCAGAGGTTAGGACTTAAACAATATGAATTTTGGGAGGAAACAATTCGACCTATAACACAGGAATGGAACATATAAGCAAAGAGCAAGTGAATTCAAAATGACCAAGCAGATACTTCGAGAACTTATAGATATGAAAAATATAATAATTATAAATAAAAACTTAGATGAATTTAACAGGAGATGAGAGTTGGCTGAAGAGAGAATTGGTACAGTGGAAGACAGATCTGAAGTGATTACTGAGAAAGGACCAAAAGCCAAGGTGGTGGAAATTTTTAAGAGCTTAAGAAGTCAGGTGATAAACTGTGCTGCCTATAGAAAGAGGACTGGGTAAAAAAAATGTGGTACATATACACGATGGAATATTATGCAGCCATAAAGGACAAAATTATGAATTTCACAGCAACTTGGATGGACTTAGAGGCTATAATACTGAATGATCTATCACAGAAACAAAGAACTGAGTACCACATGTTCTCATTCATAAGTGGTCCTTGAACAATTATCATAATACAATAAGAAAGGAATTGACAGTAGTGGGGAACTGCCAGGGGAGAGGGGGTAGGTAGGATTGGCAGTAGTGGGAAACTGTCAAGGGAGGGGTGCACACCTCATCAACAAGGGTATCTGCATAATGAACACATATACCTGACTCTGAATTGTATCCCACATCTTTAAAAGATAAAATTTAAAAAAAAAGAAAGAAAAAGAAGTCAAGTGATAGAATAAGCAGGTCTAGCATATATCTTACTCAGAGTCCCAGTAAGAGATGACAGAGAGACTGTGGCAGAGACAATATTAAAAAAGATGATAGCTGAGTGTTTTCCAAAATTGATAAGACATCAACCCCTAGTGACAGTTAGGCTCTCAAGTGACTTCCCAACAGCAACAATGGAAACCAGAAGACAGTGGGATCATATCTTCACTAGGCTGAGAGAACAAAACTGTCATAAATCACATAGGTTAGATTATGGAAGATTTTCCTTTTTTTTTTGAGTTGGAGTCTCACTCTATGGCCCAGGCTGGAGTGCCGTGGCATGCTCAAGGCTCACCGCAGCCTCAGTCTTCTGAACTCAGGTGATCCCCTTCAGCCTCCCAAATAGTTGGAACTATAGGCCACACCTGGCTAATTTTTAAAAAAATTTTATTTTTGTAGAGATGAGGTCTTACTATGTTGCTTAGGCTGGTCTCGAGCTCCTGGGTTCAAGCGATCCTTTGCCTCAGCCTCCCAAAGTACTGGGATTATGTGCCTGGCTTCCTTTTCCTTTT